TGTGTGGTACAGTGTGTAGGTGTGTGTTGTACAGTGTGTAGGTGTGTATGGTACAGTGTGTAGGGTGTGTGGTACAGTGTGTAGGTGTGTGTGGTACAGTGTGTAGGTGTGTGTGGTACAGTGTGTAGGTGTGTGTGGTACAGTGTGTAGGTGTGTGTGGTACAGTGTGTAGGTGTGTGTTGTACAGTGTGTGTATGTGTGTGTGGTACAGTGTGTAGGTGTGTGTGGTACAGTGTGTAGGTGTGTGTTGTACAGTGTGTAGGGTGTGTGTGGTACAGTGTGTAGGTGTGTGTGTGGTACAGTGTGTAGGTATGTGTGGTACAGTGTGTAGGTGTGTGTTGTACAGTGTGTAGGGTACAGTGTAGGTGTGTTGTGTACAGTGTGTAGGTGTGTGTTGTACAGTGTGTAGGTGTGTGTGGTACAGTGTGTAGGTGTGTGTGGTACAGTGTGTAGGTGTGTGTGGTACAGTGTGTAGGTGTGTGTGGTACAGTGTGTAGGTGTGTGTGGTACAGTGTGTAGGTGTGTGTGGTACAGTGTGTAGGTGTGTGTGGTACAGTGTGTAGGTGTGTGTGGTACAGTGTGTAGGTGTGTGTTGTGGTACAGTGTGTAGGTGTGTGTGGTACAGTGTGTAGGTGTGTGTGGTACAGTGTGTAGGTGTGTGTGGTACAGTGTGTAGGTGTGTGTGGTACAGTGTTTAGGTGTGTGTTGTACAGTGTGTAGGTGTGTGTGGTACAGTGTGTAGGTGTGTGTGGTACAGTGTGTAGGTGTGTGTGGTACAGTGTGTAGGTGTGTGTTGTACAGTGTGTAGGTGTGTGTGGTACAGTGTGTAGGTGTGTGTGGTACAGTGTGTAGGTGTGTGATTGTACAGTGTGTAAATGCGGCGGACAGACGGGTCTCAGTTGGTTTGGTGTCCTCTGCTTACTTTTAATAGGCTACTTGTAAATACAACTTTTGGCCCGTAATTTCAATTCCCCATTTCAGCGACCAGAGAGGGGGGGGGGGATATATCCAGTCTCTGATTGTGTTACGTTATTATGAGAGTGCTCTCATACTTTAAATTGTATATATTTATATAAATATATGTGTGTCCGCATCTGTAGCCTGTTATTGTCTCATTATACCGCACTCTCAATGAATTCAAAGTAAATATGTGGGGGAACAATGTTCAGCTGATCTAACAGAGATACAGCGCTATGACAAAACACTCGACAGCTGATGCAGCTGTTGCCACGTCATAATGAACGGACGTCTCTTTAATATGACCGCTCAGAGGAGAGGAGTTCTCATTTCTTTAAACGTCTGCTGCTTCTCCTCCTCTCTCCTCGGTTCCCCTCCTCGGTCCTCCGCTCGCATCTCCTGTGGGCGGGTCTAAGTCTCGAGGAGGGGAACCGAGGAGGGGAGTCGAGGAGGGGAAATTTGAGTATTGAGAAGCCTCTTTTGTGTGTTCCCCCGGGTGCTGCTGGTCTGTTCTGGATCAGGGTCTGACTACAGCTCTGCTCTGACTCTCTTGCCTCACCTTGCCGTCGTTATTCCTAAAACTAAAGTGTATTCTGTTTGACGTTCCTTTTCAAGTCCATGGTTGTATTGATGGATTGTATGAAATCTTGTCTCTGGTGTTGATGTGCTGAATGCTATTTGGTTGGATATCATCATGTTGTGAATTTTGAGTTTTTGGTCTTTACATTTTTTTGGGAGAATTACTTGATAGGATGCAAACAAAAGAAAAAAGGAATTGTTCTGATACCCATGGTACCTTTGAGCTAGCTGAAAAGAAGCTGACTTTGAGAAGATATTCACACGTCTTTTCTCTCCTGAACAGAACACACCAGCGTCCTCAGTGTCCACAGTCATGAGTCCCAAATCCTGGTTGGGTACACTCGGTCACAGAACTTTCATTTCCTGAACAGCCGACATAAGCCCGATTGGTCCGGCCCCCTGACCATAGTGGGCTGAGTGAGGGGCGCTCAGTGCTGAACCACAGCCCAACTGTCTGCAGACGACCTGAGCGTCCCGTAGATCCCGTCCATCATCACACCCTGTTCCCCAGGTGCTGCTGTGGAAGGTCTCAACTCTTCCGGAGCAGCGATTGGACCCAGAGCCAGCCAATCTGACCTGACCGTCTGTAGGACACAAAGAAAAGTTCAATTCTCAATGAATTGACCGTTCACTTAAGACCAAAAGGATTTATGCATCAGACCATAAGTGACCTGCAGAGGTGAAGAGGTCAAGAGGACAGAGACTACACAGAGAAGACACAGATGACTTTCAGCAGGATAGAAAGTGCAGAAACTAAAGTTCTACTTGTTCCTGATTTAGATTCCTTTGGACTGAGACCTGAACAATTAGTTTTAAGACTTGGCCTGTCTATAACAAACAATGAATCTGCTATGCATGCAAAGGAAATGGAATATGATATAGATCTTACCAATGAGCAAACGGTGCTGTTCGCTCCCCATGGCTGACTCTCTCAGTGAGCGAACACTGTTAGAAGACTTCCTCCTTTTGGCACTTTTACGGTGATTCTCCCATTCACTGAAGACCATTAGAGGAACACAAACGTCAGCATCTCAAACCCAAATCTGTGTGTTTTCACACCGGTAAAGACGTAACCACTTTGTTCCTTCTCTCCGCTGAGAACCAACAACAGTTCCTGTTCTCATAAAACCAACTCATCATTACCAAAGGCTTCAGCCCTGCACGAGCATAGGCCACAACAGATACAACATCTTTAAATTCACTATTAAAGGGTTTTGGCTGGGTTCTTCTGTGTTGTATGTTTAAAAAGGGAGAGAATCACTTTCAGATCTCCAGTAACAGAAAACAAAAGCGAAATAAATATCCTGACCTTTCTGTTCAGACGCCGTTCCAGCTTCCCACTGCAAGGTCCTGTCTCCATTTGGGGTACCACCAAGTCCTTAGTCCACAAAAAGGGGTACAGACAAGACCGTCATTTTCCTGACAAGGCCTTGTCCTCCAGCGATGTACCAACAACATATTTATCAAGGGTTGCAACCAAGGCCTTCCTCCTCAAGAGGGGTACCACCAAATGGAGGGGGGGGTGCTGGTGGATCGCCGGAGCCGTATTAGATTAACATTAACATGCTTATTGTAGTTGCACTGCCTTGCGGCCTGTAGCACCATCCTTGATGGAGCATATGTGTGGGCTGGACAGGAAAGGAGTGAGCAGAGGGTAGAGTTGTCGATTCTTGTTCCGTTTTCTGTGACTATCTTCGCGCTACCATGGAAACCAAACAATGGTGTAGCTGTATTAAAGTCAGAGTGGAAACAGTCCTGAGTAAATCTGATTTTGTCAGAAATCGGGAGAAATCGGGAGAAATATGACCCCGGGAGGAAACCGGGAGAGGGCAGTGAAATCGGGAGTCTCCCGCGAAAATCGGGAGGGTTGGCAAGCATGCTCCTGGATGTCCTCCAGAAAGGGGTCGTTCTGTCTTTCTTGACCCCAGGATTGAAAAGGCATTATTAGGTTGTGTGGAACCAGTGCACAACATGTATTGAAGTCCCTCCCATGTTTGCTAAACCAGAAAGAAAACATAGCTATTGGGCTTTTTCAATTCAAGTTAAAAACAGTAAATTATAAAATACAGAATGAAGTTATGTCAAATGGGACGCCCTAACAAGCTACGTATCAGGAAGTATTTCAAATATGGCCTACTAACACATTACTAACACATCTAGAAGGAGAGAGTTTATGTATTATGAAGACAGATTTAGAAGTTTAGGAAACACTAATGAAATGCCTTAAACTAAGTCTGAACACTGGTTTAACATTGCTATGATACAATAAATACAGATATGACAAAGTGAGTATTAGTTTATAACTTAGTGTATATAAACTCTTACATATTGTATTAATAGCTGCTGCTTTAAGCTGTTTTTAAATCCAGATAAAGTCATTTTTAAAGGGTTTTGAATATCTTACCACACTAAAGCTGGTACATATTTATGTTTGACCCTTTATAAGATGCTTTTACCTTGTCTTCTGTGCATGGAAAGATAAATAAGTTTGGACAGGTTCTACCAGTCGATTACTCAGCATATTTGACATGTTACATTTACTTAATTTTTTGGTGAAGTTGTTTACACTTAAAACAACATTTTCATAAAATATATTGAAATTGAAAGAGGGTTTATTAAAGTACTGTACAAAGTTTAAACATTTAGCTACTTGGCGGCGGCGGTGGGAACTGGAAGGTCACCAGTTCAAGCCCCGGAAAGACCAAGTGCTACCGAGGTGTCCCTGAGCAAGGCACCGTTCCCTACACTGCTCCCCGGGCGCCGTGCTAATGGCAGCCCACTGCTCCTAACACTAGGAGGGCGAATGCAGAGACCTCTTTTCGTCTTAGAAATAAAACTTGATTTTCAGACGAAAGTCCAGAGAAAAAATTAAAAATGGTTTTGCTTCAGGAAAAAAGTTGAGATCCGAGATTTTATAAAAAATACTTTTTCAAATTTTGTCAAAGAAAATCTGAAATCTAACATTTTTGAATTTCTAGATTTTAGACAGAAATCTGAATCTTGAGAAAATGCAGAATTGCTCCTAACACTCTCCAGGTCCATGGTTGGGTGTTTAACAAGTCAGTACTTGTTGTGAATGCCTTTGTCTCTTGTCACACATGCACACACACACACACACACTCACACATGCACACACACACACGCGCACACACATGCACACGCACGCACACACACACACACACACACACACACACACACACACACACACACACACACACACACACACACACACACACACACCACACACACACACACACACACACACACACACACACACACACACACACACACACACACACACACACACACACACACACACACACACACACACACACACACACACACACACACACACACACACACACACACACACACACACACACACACACACACACACACACACACACACACACACACACACACACACACACACACACACACAGAGTAATAACAGTAAAGGAATAATCAGTAAACGTCTTCTGATGAAAGAAGACGGATCATTTAATTGCCATATTTCCGTTAAACTCTAGAATGACTCTGCAGGTCGACCTGGAGCCGCTTGATCTCCTGGAACAATCCTTTCAAAATATACGTTCACATCTGCGTGAGTCGATCATTGTCGGAGAAGGACAGGTTGTAAACGCTGTCGCTCGCAGCGCCGTTCCTCTCCGCCCGAGACTCTTCTTCTCCCTCCTCAAATCCAGTCTGCTCCTTCTTCTTTTGACTGGGAGGAGAAGAAGAGACAGAGTTGATCGGAGGAAATGATGTCCCCTCCCCATCCATTACATCAACTAGTTAGATGTAAAACTATGTAATCTGTTATCTGAGGATCGAAGTGTAAAAGTGATCTGCTTTTGGATTACCTCAATATCAAATGCAGTTTAAATAAATAAAAGACAGAAGAAATTATAAGCTGTGATTTTTACTTCTGTGTATTTTGTTTCAGAAAAGAAGAAGCCAAGACATTTAGTTTGAGAAGACGCGTGTCCTCTGCTGCTGTTTGTAATGTGTATTCTGCCTCAAACTGTACGTACTGTACGTGCTGTCAACACCTTCTCACTCCCAACCCGTCAACATCTTCTCACTCCCAACCCGTCAACACCTTCTCACTCCCAACCCGTCAACATCTTCTCACTCCCAACCCGTCAACACCTTCTCACTCCCAACCCGTCAACACCTTCTCACTCCCAACCCGTCAACACCTTCTCACTCCCAACCCGTCAACACCTTCTCACTCCCAACCCATCAACACCTTCTCACTCCCAACCCGTCAACACCTTCTCACTCCCAACCCGTCAACACCTTCTCACTCCCAACCCATCAACACCTTCTCACTCCCAACCCGTCAACACCTTCTCACTCCCAACCCGTCAACACCTTCTCACTCCCAACCCGTCAACACCTTCTCACTCCCAACCCGTCAACACCTTCTCACTCCCAACCCGTCAACTCGTTCTCACTCCCAACCCGTCAACACCTTCTCACTCCCAACCCGTCAACACCTTCTCACTCCCAACCCGTCAACACCTTCTCACTCCCAACCCGTCAACACCTTCTCACTCCCAACCCGTCAACACCTTCTCACTCCCAACCCGTCAACACCTTCTCACTCCAACCCGTCAACACCTTCTCACTCCCAACCCGTCAACACCTTCTCACTCCCAACCCGTCAACACCTTCTCACTCCCAACCCGTCAACACCTTCTCACTCCCAACCCGTCAACACCTTCTCACTCCCACCCGTCAACACCTTCTCACTCCCAACCCGTCAACACCTTCTCACTCCCAACCCGTCAACACCTTCTCACTCCCAACCCGTCAACACCTTCTCACTCCCAACCCGTCAACACCTTCTCACTCCCAACCCGTCAACACCTTCTCACTCCCAACCCGTCAACACCTTCTCACTCCCAACCCGTCAACACCTTCTCACTCCCAACCCGTCAACACCTTCTCACTCCCAACCCGTCAACACCTTCTCACTCCCAACCCGTCAACACCTTCTCACTCCCAACCCGTCAACACCTTCTCACTCCCAACCCGTCAACACCTTCTCACTCCCAACCCGTCAACACCTTCTCACTCCCAACCCGTCACATGTTGACGGGTTGGGAGTGAGAACGTGTTGAGGAGTTGGGAGTGAGAACGTGCTGTCAGATATGTACAGATCTCTCTGCTCTTTCCTTCTGTTTCCTGATGGATGGAAACCACATGTTGTTGTCCTGGAACTCTGGACAGTGATTATGAAGCTCAGCGCAAGTTCAACCAGGAAGACCGTCTTTAGTCATTCATTCACATATTCCCAGCTTGCTACTCTCTCTCCTCTCAGTGATCGGGGGCGTCACTCCCAGCTAACCCTATCACTTCGCTCTATTCCCACAAGCCTATCATAGTGCATTGCTAACCCATCGGCTCTCTCCCCTCCTGACAGGTGTCATTAAGGTGACTCGACGCAGCCCTCCTCCAGCTCAACGGGGACCATCATATCCATCTGTGTGTTCCTATCAGAACGCTCTCTCCTGATTGAACTGAAGTGAGCCTCACCGTCTCCTCTGCATGACGGAGGTCCCCAGCACCAGCACGATGCCGGCGCCCACGGCTCCCATCACCACCCCAAACACGATAAGCCAGGGGGGGGACGAGGGGGGTGCGGGGGCCGCCAGGGTGGGGGGGATGCCCAGGAACTCCAGGGTATTATCCGTCAGCAGGAAGGCGCTGTTGATGCGGTTCCTCGACTTCCTGTTTGGAGAAAACAGTTAGAGATTTTCAGAAAATAGTCAGATTTAGAAATGTCACAGGGCACCCTCATCCTCTTCCATAGGAGCGTTAGTAGTGTAAAGTAAGTATACAGTATATATAGCATACTATATATTTACTAAGTTCAGGACTCATAATGCTGACTCATGTCTTTAGGACTCATAATGCTGACTCAGGTCAGGGTTCAGGACTCATAACGCTGACTCAGGTCCGGGTTCAGGACTCATAATGCTGACTCAGGTCAGGGTTCAGGACTCATAATGCTGACTCATGTCTTTAGGACTCATAATGCTGACTCAGGTCAGGGTTCAGGACTCATAACGCTGACTCAGGTCCGGGTTCAGGACTCATAATGCTGACTCAGGTCAGGGTTCAGGACTCATAATGCTGACTCAGGTCAGGGTTCAGGACTCATAATGCTGACTCATGTCAGGGTTCAGGACTCATAATGCTGACTCAGGTCAGGGTTCAGGACTCATAATGCTGACTCAGGTCAGGACTCAGGACTCATAATGCTGACTCATGTCAGGACTCATAATGCTGACTCAGGTCAGGACTCAGGACTCATAATGCTGACTCATGTCAGGACTCATAATGCTGACTCATGTCTTTAGGACTCATAATGCTGACTCATGTCTTTAGGACTCATAATGCTGACTCATGTCAGGACTCATAATGCTGACTCATGTCAGGACTCATAATGCTGACTCAGGTCAGGGTTCAGGACTCATAACGCTGACTCAGGTCCGGGTTCAGGACTCATAATGCTGACTCAGGTCCGGGTTCAGGACTCATAATGCTGACTCAGGTCCGGGTTCAGGACTCATAATGCTGACTCAGGTCAGGGTTCAGGACTCATAATGCTGACTCATGTCTTTAGAACTCATAATGCTGACTCAGGTCAGGGTTCAGGACTCATAACGCTGACTCAGGTCCGGGTTTAGGACTCATAATGCTGACTCAGGTCAGGGTTCAGGACTCATAATGCTGACTCAGGTCAGGGTTCAGGACTCATAATGCTGACTCAGGTCAGGGTTCAGGACTCATAATGCTGACTCAGGTCAGGGTTCAGGACTCATAATGCTGACTCAGGTCAGGACTCAGGACTCATAATGCTGACTCATGTCAGGACTCATAATGCTGACTCAGGTCAGGACTCAGGACTCATAATGCTGACTCATGTCAGGACTCATAATGCTGACTCATGTCTTTAGGACTCATAATGCTGACTCATGTCTTTAGGACTCATAATGCTGACTCATGTCAGGACTCATAATGCTGACTCATGTCAGGACTCATAATGCTGACTCAGGTCAGGGTTCAGGACTCATAACGCTGACTCAGGTCCGGGTTCAGGACTCATAATGCTGACTCAGGTCAGGGTTCAGGACTCATAATGCTGACTCATGTCAGGGTTCAGGACTCATAATGCTGACTCAGGTCCGGGTTCAGGACTCATAATGCTGACTCAGGTCAGGGTTCAGGACTCATAATGCTGACTCAGGTCAGGACTCAGGACTCATAATGCTGACTCATGTCAGGACTCATAATGCTGACTCATGTCAGGGTTCAGGACTCATAATGCTGACTCAGGTCAGAACTCATAATGCTGACTCATGTCTTTAGGACTCATAATGCTGACTCATGTCTTTAGGACTCATAATGCTGACTCATGTCTTTAGGACTCATAATGCTGACTCATGTCTTTAGGACTCATAATGCTGACTCAGGTCAGAACTCATAATGCTGACTCATGTCTTTAGGACTCATAATGCTGACTCATGTCTTCAGGACTCATAATGCTGACTCATGTCAGGACTCATAATGCTGACTCAGGTCAGGGTTCAGGACTCATAACGCTGACTCAGGTCCGGGTTCAGGACTCATAATGCTGACTCAGGTCCGGGTTCAGGACTCATAATGCTGACTCAGGTCCGGGTTCAGGACTCATAATGCTGACTCAGGTCAGGGTTCAGGACTCATAATGCTGACTCATGTCTTTAGGACTCATAATGCTGACTCAGGTCAGGGTTCAGGACTCATAACGCTGACTCAGGTCCGGGTTCAGGACTCATAATGCTGACTCAGGTCAGGGTTCAGGACTCATAATGCTGACTCAGGTCAGGGTTCAGGACTCATAATGCTGACTCATGTCAGGGTTCAGGACTCATAATGCTGACTCAGGTCAGGGTTCAGGACTCATAATGCTGACTCAGGTCAGGACTCAGGACTCATAATGCTGACTCATGTCAGGACTCATAATGCTGACTCAGGTCAGGACTCAGGACTCATAATGCTGACTCATGTCAGGACTCATAATGCTGACTCATGTCTTTAGGACTCATAATGCTGACTCATGTCTTTAGGACTCATAATGCTGACTCATGTCTTTAGGACTCATAATGCTGACTCATGTCAGGACTCATAATGCTGACTCAGGTCAGGGTTCAGGACTCATAACGCTGACTCAGGTCCGGGTTCAGGACTCATAATGCTGACTCAGGTCCGGGTTCAGGACTCATAATGCTGACTCAGGTCAGGGTTCAGGACTCATAATGCTGACTCAGGTCCGGGTTCAGGACTCATAATGCTGACTCAGGTCAGGACTCAGGACTCATAATGCTGACTCATGTCAGGACTCATAATGCTGACTCATGTCAGGGTTCAGGACTCATAATGCTGACTCAGGTCAGAACTCATAATGCTGACTCATGTCTTTAGGACTCATAATGCTGACTCATGTCTTTAGGACTCATAATGCTGACTCATGTCTTTAGGACTCATAATGCTGACTCATGTCTTTAGGACTCATAATGCTGACTCATGTCAGAACTCATAATGCTGACTCAGGTCAGGACTCATAATGCTGACTCATGTCTTTAGGACTCATAATGCTGACTCATGTCTTTAGGACTCATAATGCTGACTCATGTCTTTAGGACTCATAATGCTGACTCATGTCTTTAGGACTCATACTGACTCATCTCAGGACTTAATGATGACTCAGGTC